GCGGCGCGTGGGGGGTGGGGGGCGTCCCTGAGCAGAGCGCCCCCCCCCCGATGTTTCTTTCCTCCTCAAAATATCAGCTCCTTCAAGACTTCCAGTAACACTGAATTCTAGTGCAAGGATTTTGGATTTTTGAAACAGAATTCCATTATGTGGAAGATACTGACCAGTTTTACAGAGAATCCTCAAGACGGTCTCTTCTCGCCAAACAGTGGTGAAATGCCTGTCCTTGTCGTCTTTATTTGCATTAGACAAAGAGAATTCTTCGCCCGCCAGGCGCGGGGGCTCCCGCCTGGAATCCCAGCACTTCGGGAGGCCGAGACGGGCGGATCACGGAGTCCGGAGATCGAGACCATCCTGGCTAACACGGTGAGACCCCGTCTCTACTAAAAATACAAAAAATGAGCCGGCCGCAATGGCGGCGCCTGTAGTCCCAGCTCCTCGCGAGGCTGAGGCAGGAGAATGGCGGGAACCCGGGAGGCGGAGCTTGCAGGGAGCCAAGATGGCGCCGCTCACTCCAGCCTGGGCCACAGAGAGAGACTCCGTCTCAAACAAACAAACAAACAAAAAAATTCCGTCACCCAAGTTCCAGCAGTTCTTTGTCAGTACATATACTTTTGAACTTCTTTTCAATATCTGGTCTTTTCAAGAAAGAGAGAGAGAGAGAATCCAGAAATTTTTGAATACTTGCTTAATTGAACTTGTTTCATGCTCTTTCTATTCCCCCTCCCACAGAATAGATAGTGCATCATCTCCTTTTATCTCTTATCTTGTCTCTGTGGGGTTTTTTTTTTTTAAACATCATTCATGCTATAAATTATTTTTTGTTTGTTTGTACTTTGCTTCTTTTATTTTTCCATAAGTTGTTGGAGTACAGGTGGTATTTGGTTACATGAGCAAGTTTTTTAGTGGTGATTTGTGAGATGCTGGTGCACCCATCACCCCAGCAGTGTACACTGCACCATATTTGTAGTCTTTTATCCCTTGCCCCCTCCCACTCTTCCCCCTAAGTCAGCAAAGTCCATTGCATCATTCTTATGACTTTGCGTTCTTGTAGCTTAGCTCCCAATCAGTGACAACCATATGATGGTTTGGTTTTCCATTTCTGAATTACCTCACTTAGAATAATAGTCTCCAATCTCATCCAGGTCACTGCGAATGCTGTGAATTCATTTCTTTTTATGGCTGCATAGTATTCCATCGCATACATATACCACAGTGTCTTTATCCACTTGTTGATTGATGGGCATTTGGGTTGGTTCCATGATTTTGCAATTATGAATTATGCTGCTGTAAGCATGAATGTGCAAGTATCTTTTTCAAATAGTGACTTATTTTCTTCTGGGTAGATACCCAGTAGTGAGAGTGCTGGATCAAATAGTAGATCTACTTTTAGTTCTTTAAGGAATCTCCACCTGTTTTCCATAGTGGCTGTACTAGTTTACATTCCCACCAGCAGTGTAGAAGTGTTCCCTGTTCACCGCATGCATGCCAACATCTATTGGTTTTTGATTTTTTTTTTTTTTATTGTTATGGCCATTCCTGTAGGAGAAAGTTGGTATCGCATTGTGGTTTTGATTTGCATTTCCCTGATCCTTAGTGATGCTGAGCATTTTTTCATGTTTGCTGGTCATTTGTATGTCTTCTTTTGAGAATTGTCTATTCATATCCTCAGCCCACTTTTTGATGGGATTGTTTGTTTTTTTCTTACTAATTTGTTTGAGTTTGTTATAGATTCTGGGTATTAGTCCTTTGTCAGATGTGTAGATTGTGAAGATTTTCTCCCACTCTGTGGGCTGTCTGTTTACTCTGCTGACTGTTCTTTTTGCCTTGGAAAGCTCTTTAGTTTAATTAAGTCCCAGGTATTTATCTTTGTTTTCATTGCATTTGCTTTTGAGTTCTTGGTCATGAAATCATTGCCTAAGCCAATGTCTAGAAGGGTTTTTCCGATGTTTTCTTCCAGAATTTTTACAGTTTCAGGTTTTAAGTCCTTAATCCATTTTGAGTTGATTTTTCTATACGGTGGGAGATGAGGATCCA